GTCTGCCCCTGCACCCAACCCAGAAAAATTGGAGTGAGTCAAAGCCTGGTGCAGAAACGCCATCGGGCTGGGTACCGCGCCTTGCAGACCATTGCACCCTGTGAAGGACAAATGAAGATGTGCAGGGGGTGATGGGGAACCAGAGAGCTGAAAATACTTACTTGTTTATTTATTTATTTCCCCCCTCATTTTTGCAGACTGGCCCCTGGCCCCTGGCAGCCCCTGGTGGGGTGCTGCGGGTGGGACGGGCGAGGGGAGCAGGAGCCCATTTTTCTTCTATTTTTTTACTGATCATCCAGAAGGTAAGCTGCACAGGAACCTAAGGGGTAAATACTTTTTTTTTTTTTGTCTTTTTTTTTTTTTTTTTTGTTGTTGTTTGGTTGTTTGGTTGGGTTTTTTTGGGGAGCATGGCACTTCTGTAAGGGGTACACGCTGGCAAGCAAAGCCCGCAGCTTCTTGATGGCTTCCCCCATCAAAATGGCATTTTCTTCTCCTTTCCCTGCCTCATACCTGGGGATGCGGCTGCAGGCACGCTGCCAGAGCAGATGGGATTTTGAGCTTCATCTCGTTCACCGTCTTATTTCCCCCAGTGGGGCTTTTCAGTTTTGTTCTTGGGGATTTCTGATTTTAGGTAGTTTCTGGGAGGTTGTTAGGTTTTTAATTTTTTATTTTAAAGTTCTGAAAACTGCCATTCTTTAAAAAAGGAAAATAAAAAAGAGCTGCCACAAGAGGACAGCATTGCCTGCGCTTTCACCAGGGCCTTTGCAAACCCCCCCTTGCAGAGCCAGGCTGGTGCAGGTTGGTCCCTGCGATGCTCAGCAAGCACCATCACCTGCCGGGGAGACAGCGGGGACATTTCGGGTTTGCCCATCGCTCTCCAGCCATGGGCTGCCCTGGGCCCCTCGGTGGGGTCTGTGGGGACAACGCGGTCCCCGGAGCTGTGACTGGCTCTCGGCAGGTCACTTTGCATTCAGGGCTTGCCCAGGCTGCCCCATATGTGTTCCAGATTTCCTCCTCGCTTGTCCGGACGATCCATTTTCACCCACAATATTTATCCCACCTCGTAGGAGCCGTGGCCGCCTCTCCACTCCCCCCCATCTGTCTCCGGGAGCTCGGCACGCCGTGCGGCGTGGGAGGCTGCAAAGCTTTTCCTCCTGGGGGTCTGTTCGGCAGAACCATCAGCAAACCAGCGGGACGACCTGTGACGGCAGCAGGTAGCACCCAGGTTTTACTGGAAGGCGTAGGGTCATCGTGGCCGTATTGCAGCGAGCAATTTGTTGTGTGAAATCAAATTAAGAAGCAGCAGTTTCATTAGCGAGCATGCCTGCTTAATGAGTTGTTTTGATTTGGGGCTTTTCTTCTATTTTTTTCTTGGTTTTAATTTTTTTTAAGTGGCTTTAAATCCTATTTGGCACAGCCCAATTTGTTGCTGCTTGTCAAAAATTACTTCAAGCAGGTGGAAGGGGACACCCTGGCCCCGATGCAGTTTCAGCCTTGCCCAGGTCTGACGCTGTCCTGCCTTCACCCCTGCGCCTCAGGAGTGAGGATTTACAGAACCTGGGCTGCGGGCAGAGCATGGCAAACCCCTTGTTGCCAGAGGCTTCAGTCCAAAAATCCCCATAGTGTGTGCTGGGCTCAGCACGGGGGGAGCCTGGACCTGGCAGTGGAGGTGGCTGCGAGCGACCACCCATCCATCCGAAATGGGCCTCCGCCCGCCGGCCGCCCCAAGCGGCTCACGGGACCCATGGGCCGGGGTCTTCAGCCCCGAGCTTCGCTCTGGGCTGCTGAGGAAGCCTCCTTCCCCGTCACAGGGCAGGAACCCAATGCACATCTGCATCTCCCCCATCCTCGCGTTCCCATTTATTTCCAAGCCGCTGGATCAGACCCGCAGCCGTCGGAGTGGGGCGTAGCTGCTCGCGTTGACGGAGCTTCGTGTTCAGCGTGCGCGAGGTCCCCGGGTCACCTGGAATAGCAGTCGGTGCATCAGGTAGCTGCTAACTAAACTGGAGTTTCATTCACCGAGGGCATTCAACCAACGTGTTTTCTAATTTCCTGCTGGAAAAAGCCAGTATCACTCGGATTTTATTGGGAAGAATTAGTAACTGCTTGTTTGACTGCAGTAATGCCTGGTCCTATGGGCTCGAAGAAGAGTCGAGAATTGTCCCTCCAAAGTAAATATGAGAAGAGATTAATCTCCTCTCCTAGCACCAAGACATTTGGCAGATGTTGCCTGCTAGAAAACTGCTTTTGCTTTGCTTAAAGGGAGAAGCGAGGAGACCCGCTGGTGGCGGTGGTGGGGCCGGTGGCCCGGGCTGTCCCCACCGCGCGGGGCTCTGCAGGCAGGGTCAGCCAGGTGCTTTCAGCCGTTCCTCATTTATGAAGAGGGTAAAATGTGCCAGGGAGACCACGTCTGAGCACCCGGAGTGCTAAACCCCGCCTCGGCGCTGCTCTCCTGTGTCGAATTCCTGCACTTTTGGGGCTGGAGGAAAAGCATTGCTCCTCAGCCGACCTTGGTTCAGGAGGAGCACTCGGAGCCCGTGATATTTTCACTGTGTGTTTTAAGGCATCAGCTCTTGCAGTTTGTCCCAGAACTTGCAGTATTTTTAGCTTTCTTGACGATCCAGATCCTGGAGGCATGTGAGGACATGAACCGATGACATTTTTTTGGGGGGGTACGTAAAGCGGTTCTTGTTGCTATAAAGAAAACCTTGAAAATGCAAACTATAAAAAGTATTCTTAAAAAAAAAAAAAAAATAGTGGGAAGGAGGAAGCAAAGACCCATGTTTATTTAACAGCTCCCTCCCTGGCTCTCGCCATTGCTGGGCTGATGGCTCCCGGCGCTGGCTTTCTGCTTCCCTGGCAGCCCAAAAGAGCAACGCCTTTCCCTGGGGGATTGCCCCAAAGACTTGTGTTCTTCTGGGTGAGCCAACGCTCCTGGAAACGCAGGAAGAACCCGGTTGTTTGTACAAGACAAATGTTAAATGGGCTCCACCAACGTTCCTGTTCATTCCCCTGTATTCATCAGAAGAGGAGGTAATTACCAGCGTGACGGTGCTGCGAGTCAACCTTCACTTAGGAGAGGGGAAGAAAAACAGTAAAAACTGAATTTCCAGTGTGGATGCAGTAGCATTTAACACTTAGGAGCAGCAGTAAAGATGAAGGTTGTAATTGTATCTGCAATTTCAAACCTCACAACATAATTTTATATACTCAAACATCTGTTTTAGGAGCATAGCTGAGAGTGCCAGATAATTGGCTTTTTTGTTTTTTGGTTTTTTTTTTAGACCTAGCAGTTAGGCACCATCAAGTTTATTATAAATTCAGACCCGTTTATTAGTAAATATGACGTGTTGAACAGCGCCACAGCACGATAGCCCTGGGGCTGGTCAGCATGTTTGGAGCAGCAGAAGTCCTCGTCGTTGTTGAGCTGGATGCCGACACACGACGGAACGCACGGCTCCCCGCGGGAGAGGGCGGCCGACAGCACCGACCCTCCCGAGAAGGTGCCGGTGTTTTACCCATCCTCTGGGAATTATGGCTATCCAGCAGCGGGGAAGCCTGCTGCCAACCTGGGAAAAGCTCTTCTGGGATATCAGAGGCTGATGGAGACCTTCGTGACCTGCTTGCCCATGATTACCAGCACACCTTGTCTTCACCTCGACGTATCACGTATTTGGGAACATGCAGCCGCAATGCGATGCCTCCTTCGCTTTCTCTCATTTTATTCTCTGTGTTCGTAGCAAAGCTGATGGGGAGGAAGGTCTCGTGCTGGTCTCCTGCTTGGAGGACCAGAGGGGT